AGAGAGGACATACGGTTCACACATTAACCATTTCAGCAAACTAGGGTGCTTAAGGGGCCTGGAGAGTCCCTTTAAGCAGTGTAATTTTTCCATTAATACTCAACAAAATTTAAGATATATTTACGATATCAGGCTTTATTGTTGAAATTTAAAACCAAGTCACTTATAATTACAAGACCATTCAATTGAATTAAAAACACTCTTCTTCTTCTAAGCTTTTTATTTTACTTCATAATGAAGTGTACCTGATTTACTGTAAAATGAAACATTGTATATCTTTATTTTAAATTAAATTAAAAATATAACACACACTCTTATTCCTTTTCATAGTAAAGCACAAATGATTCACAGTAAAATAAATCTTTATCTTAAATTAAATTACATATATAAAATTTACTCTGGAAATTTGACAGGAAATAACATACTTTTATTTACCAAGATTATTACGTGTTCCACAAGATAAACGTAAAACGATATATATTACATAGGTTTTGCTATGATATATAAAACAGAAGTTCTTTAAATAAATGTAATAGCCTCATAAGAATTTGGAATAATACGCTTCGATATTAAAACTTTAAATCTTTCATAACATATTTTCATTGAAACAAATCATTTTCTTAGCTTAATATTCTTAAAACATAAAAATCCAGTTGAAACATGCATTGGTAAGAAGCTCATATAAATATGTTCACCATGAAAGAAGCGTTCAATTAACACTTGCAAAATGCATTTAAATTTCAGTACCACATATCTATGTACATTTTCATGAACCTTTCATGAAGATGTAGCCTCCTGGGGTGTTACTGGTAAAAATTACTTAAATTCCATCCAACTTGCTACTAATGATGACCTCTAGAATAATAAATAATAAATGAAAATAAATAGTACAATGATAAGAATAAAATAATAAATGCAGGCTCCACTATGGTATGATTTGGCCCAACCACCAGCATTAAATATACTGGGGTATCTGTCCAAAAGGAACACTCTAACTCCATTCACCATAATCACTACAATGCACTTTAGGGTGCGAGGATGCCGTATACAATATAAGTAGTCAAACTGATTGACTTTTTACCTATAGTCTAATGGATGCCACCCTCTGCCTCCTGTCTAGGCACAAGCACTCAGCTCTGAAATATGCATGGTAATATACTCCACTTACCTTCTCTCCGTGGGGAGAGAGATTCGACGCGGGAGCAAAAATCAGGTAAGCCGGGGAGCGGGGGCCTTACAGGCAGCTACATATTTTTATTTCTCTGTTATTCTGTCAATGTTATGTTCAGTAAAAAGTCAAGTGACATAACCAGAACTCCTGTTGCCCAGTATTTTTAATCTTACCAGCATCAAGTCAAAGCTTATAATCTTATACATGTCTATAGCTTTTGAAGCTGTGCAACAAAGAACTGGTACCTGTAGATGAGATGTCTTGTTCAGTACATTATTACTTAAAATTGTATGGGAAAAACAAGATGAGTGGCAGTGTTAGGACGCTGTTTAGTAGATGAAGCCCAAGATGCAGAAAATACTGAAAGCACAATCAGAAATGCAGTACAAAGGGGCCAGCCAAAGAATGGACAGGAAAGGCAATGGTCAGGACACGCGGCACAGGAGTCAAGCAGGAGTCAAATACCAGGAAACAAACAGGACAGGCACTGAAGGAGCACAGTATAACTGAGCAAAGAGTCTATTGGAGTTTAAATAGGGGGAAGAGGTATGTCCATTTACTGTAGCTCTGCCTTCATGTACACCCCCTATGTTGGTCTCCACCTGCTGTCCCTTTAAGAGTGCTTTGCTTCGGCGCTAGTGCACCCTAGGATCCCCTTTGGTGTTCCGTCCCTCTGCCCTGAGGGAACGGAGAAAGCAGTCCCCCATCTGCGGTACAGCGCTTGGAAAGCTTGAGAGCTCAGGCAGGCCCCCTGCAGGCATTGCACAAGCTGAAGATCACATGGCCCAGGAGAGCCGAATCTGGCAGAGGGGGTCTGCTTGAGCTCTCAGGCAGACCCCAGGATTGCGATCGCTGGCCGCTGATCTCCAGCGATCAGGTAAGTGGGGATTTAATAATGGACTTACTAGGTACGTCCGCGGTTGTTAACGGCCAGTTTTTGTCGAACACACCATGGTCAGGAAGGGCTTAATAAGCTTTCCAAATGATTTGTTTAAAAAAATTTCCATAGACTTTAATGGTGACTAATGTAGATAAATAATTTGGAAAGTGTTTCTAACAGTATTGAATTATTTGGAAAGCTTATGGAATTCATATGGAGAGCTGTATGCATACATACAAAATATCTCAAAATCATAAACCATCATATAATTCTATAATCTTTAAGATTTTCATATAAAATGCTTCAAATCCAGGCTCAGACTAAAAAAAAAGATAATCTGAGCTATTTGTCTACTTGCAATGCTAGCCACCAGTGGGCAAATAGTTAAAAACCCTTGGGGTTAATTATGTGACGTCCATTTTATTATGTCACGTGTGGTGTTCCCCAAGGTTCCATTCTCGGCCCCCTACTATTCACATTATTTATAAATGATCTGCCTAATGTCTGCAAATCCTCAGATCTACCGCAGCTTGCGGCTGTGCTCCAAGACCAGTTCACAGAGATAGAAAACACTGACAAAACTGTCACAATGATCTTTGCAACAGTACCTAAATTACACAAATTACACAAATCCCACCTATCCATCAAAACAAATTCAAATGGCACACTGACCGCAGTCCACTCTTTCAAAGACGTGGGTATGATGTTAGACCCCAATCTATCTTTTGGCCTCCACATAGAAAAGCTTGCATCTAAACTTTATCCAAAACTAGGTGCCCTGTACAGAAACAAATCCTGTCTAAGCCCAACAGCAAAGGGAAAGATTGCACAGCAAATGCTGATGTCAATCATTGATTATGGGGATGTAGTATATGCACCTGCACCGCAATCCCACATTAATAAACTCAACACATTGTATAACTCGTTCTGCCGATTTGTGCGACAATGTAATTACATGACCCACCATTGTGACATACTAAAAGAACTAAACTCAGTGTCGCTGGAATCCAGACGCACCCTTCATCTTTCCAGCCTTGTGTTTAAGAGCTTTTCTGGGAAGCTCCCACCCTACCTGAGTAGAATGCTCTCGCCGGCTGTTCCCACCTCCTATAACCTCCGATCCAGTACCAGCACTTTATTTAGTCTGTCTCAATACAAAGAGAAAGCGGCCCGCACCTGAACCAGAATGCACCTGTCATGGTTGATTGTGTATTTACTACCTGTTCTATGTTAAATTTTGTATATATTGTGTATTAATATTGGTTTTGTATTTTATTGTACCCTATTGTATCAATGTAATGTTTTGTGAACCCAGGACTTACTTAAAACGAGAGAAATCTCAATGTATCTTTCCTGGTAAAATATTTTATAAATAAAATAATAATAAGGGAGGCATTTCAAATCACTATACCCCACTTGCCATGCAGCAAGTGGTGGCATGTCTACTAAACTGTAAAAATAGCAACTGGGCAGCCATTGCATCTTAATAAGGGGGGTTGGTATTGTCCCCCCAGGCTCTAACCGTGGGCGTCTGATGGGGGATTTTGAAAGTAAGTAAGTAATGATGGTGACCAGATTACTGTCCACCAGCAGCCTTCTTGTGGGGACTATTCAGTAAAATAAATAGGGGGGACTTCCTCATGTCCGTGCATTCCCCTACCCATGGTCAGTGGAAGGGGCTATTATAATATAAGGGGGAATTTAGTGTCCCCCTGGCCCCCTCCCATAGGTGGTGGAAGGCTTAATTATAATATTCAGGTTTGAAGACCTTGTGCCTCACTCATCCAACACACATTGGTGGAGAGTAGGGGACTTAATTATAATATTTAATGAGGTTTTATTGTCCCCCCTACCAATGGACAGTACGTGGGGGCTCCTAAATAATTAAACAATGAATAGATGTACATGCTACATGTCCATCCCCCATATAGTGACATGTGCGCCTCTCTACCTCCTATCCACAGGTTGCCAGGGTTCCCTAATTACCTAGACACCAACCCATCAAAATTAAATTATCCTACCTACCCTTGCTTCACTTAAATAATTGTAAAGGGTGTAATAAAATTAATTTATGTAAAATAAAAATTATACTTACCCATCTTTTATTAAGCCCCAAAAAGGCTAAATTTAAAGTCATAATAAGATGACAAAATTAGTGAAAAGAAAAAAAGAAAACAGCAAAAAAAAGACCAAAGAAATGTCGTTAAAATTGGTGCTTTGTTAATCTTCTAAAACCTCTACTTTGTACAGGATTTGAATGCAAAAGCACCAAATTTAAACTGGACAGTGAATGCAATTGGACACTTGCTTTAAATCCAGTCAGACCGACCAAATTCTGACCGCAATTGGCTTTAGAAAATCTGCAAATTGCCAATGTGGACAGAATTCAGCCTGTTTAGTGAATAACCCAAATAGAGATGAAGTAGGGAATTTGAAATGCCAAGTTGCAAACTCAGAAAACAGAGGCAAATATTCAGCTGTAGTCGCACCTTGGTTATTTTTGTCTACGTTTGGCAATTAAGATTTTAGTTGACTAGAATGTGACACTTAAAGGAACACTTTAGTCACCAGACTATTTCACCTCAATGGTCTCAAATGGTCTGTTTTATCAAATCCTAGCAACACATAGACTCTTATACAAGGACTATACATAAGGTTATTCACTAAAGTGAGAATTGGTAGAAATTTAAAGTGAATTTAAAAATTTAGGCCAACATAGCCAAAAGGGAAAACAATTCCCAAATCAAATCTGTTTTACCAACTGGCTATTTTTTAACCTTATCTTGTTGCTTTTTTTAGCTAAATACATGGATGTGTTTTCATATGATAAATAAATTACTCCCGCAAAGTAATCTCGGAAACATTTTAGGTAAGAGATAGAAGGATTTATTGAAGAAGACACTTTATCATCTTACTGTCCTGCATACAGTACCCTCATCGTCTGCCAACTTGTGTTTATCAAGACAGTCTAGCCCTTATTCCTAAATGCAACAATACAAATTAATCTTGAAAGGATTATCAATTTATAGTTCCAAATGTGTTTTGTTTTTTTATTTATAGCATGATTCATTTGTTTGTGGATTCATTTTTAATTTTAACATGACAAAGTGCATTTTGCTTCATTAACTGATTTTGCGCTTTGCGTGTACAAGGGGAACTTTTAATCTATCATAAACCTGTTGTTTGCACCGCGATGGTGACATCTGTCATGCATAAATGCAGTGTGAGGAAAATTGAATTTTACATAAGAGACAGAGAAAGAATATTTACATAGCAATCATTGTTTAAACTGACAAATCTGCTTTAGCCATCATTATGAGTAATTATGAGAATATTAAAAAGCACTTAAGAAATAAGTGAAGGCCTCTGTGGAATGGACATTGAATCGAATTGTTTGCAAGATAAAAGTGATTCATTCTTTTTGAAGTCTTTAATCATTATGTAAATGTGTTTAAAATGTGTTATTTAAAAAAAAATATCACCAAAATAGTTTGCTGTAGTTTCATACCAAATTCTCTTATAATTTATTTTAGATCCTATCATTGCTAATTAGTTTGGTATTTTGCGCAGCACATGAACTAATTTGGAATTAATTCTGATGACATGGGTACATCTGTGCTAAAGAGCTTTCATTAATTTATGAATCTTTTTTTTTTTACATTTTAATTTTCTTTTATGTCTGATCGCATATTTCAGAGGTTATTTTCAGTAGATTTATCAAGCATAATAATAAGTATTCAGATTTAATTTAACTGTATTAGTCTAAAGTGTCTCCTACAGTGGAAGACGGGAGATATTTATAATTGATACTTTGTTTGATGGTGGGGAAATCTGGCTTAAGCATTTTAAACTACTTAAAATATAACATTTAAATTGTTGCAGGTATTTAACAATAGTCATTAGAAAGTAAAAAAAATAATCTTGTATTTAAAGATTTATTTTTATTTTTAATTCTTTATTTTTTTGTGCATGAGATCCCAATCAGGTTTGCTACACCACAATAGCTGTTGGAAATACTTCAATAACAGAATATAACATGGCATAGAGAATATTGTGCACAATTTTTAAAGTAAAATAAGTACCGGTATATAGAGATGTCGCGAACCGTGCGCGAACTTCTCGCGAACGGTTCGCCACGTGGATGCTGTCCAGGAAGTAGGAGGGTCTGGGAGGGAGGGTCTGCTGGAGATTGGCCGGGACGTGTCAGCTGACCGGAGTTCGCCGCGAACAGCTCGCAGGGATCCGTGGCGAACCGTTCGCGAGAAGTTCGCGGACGGTTCGCGACATCTTTACCGGTATATAACAAAGTCAGTGATTTAAAGATTTGTTTATGTTATACATGGCCATAAATCATTTAATTCAAGCAAATTATTGGTAAAACAAGTGATGGTGAGAATATAGTACAGGAGATAGAAAGCAGGAGAAATGGACTAAGATAGCACGTTACATTAGTAAGGTCATAAAGCCCATGGCTAAAGTGTCCTAATCCACAAAGGTTAACACATCTGTTTTTTTAGTCAATTGTGGATGTGTATGTAGTGTATGTATGTAGAGTAATTTGTGTTTATTCTATAAACTATGGAGAATTTATAACGGAATTGTGGATTTTTGTGCTTAGTTTTTAGGTCTAATGTTGAAGCATTAACCCCTTAAGGACTGAGCCAAATGTACACATTGTGATCAAAACAAAACGTAAACAAAAACTTGAATTTGCGCTATATGTCTGCTCAGGCGTAATTCACCTCTTTCATATTATGTGCACCCACACTTATTATATATCATTTTATTCAGGGGAAACAGGGCTTTCATATAACACCAAATATTTAGGTATAAAACATAATTTAATATGAATAAAATATAAAAAATGGGAGAAAATAAGAATTTTTAAAAAAATGTTTAGTTCTACGTGACATTCTAACTGTGAATGTCATAATACAGTTTGATTTTACTGCAATAAAATACACATATTTGTATTCAGCAATGTCTCACGTGTAAAACAGTACCCCCTATGTACAGGTTTTATGGTGTTTTGGGAAGTTACAGGATCAAATATAGCATGTTACATTCTTCAGTTTTTTCACATTGAAATTCGCCAGATTGGTTACGTTGCCTTTGAGACTGTATGGTAGCCCAGGAATGAGAATTACCCCCATGATGGCATACCATTTGCAAAATTAGACAACACAAGATATTGCAAATGGGGTATGTCCAGTCTTTTTTAAGTAGCCACTTGGTCTACTTTTGCAAATGGTAAGCCATTATGGGGGTAATTCTCATTCCTGGGCTACCGTACGGTCTCAAAGGCAACATAACCAATCTGGCGAATCTCAATGTGAAAAAACTGAAACGCATGCCTTATATTTGACTCTCTACCTTTTGAAAACACCATAAAACCTGTACATGAGGGTTACTGTTATCTTCGGGAGACTTCGCTGAACACAAATATCAGTGTTTAAAAACCGTAAAACGTATCACAACAATTATATTGTCCGTGTAAGTGCCATTTGGGTGTGAAAATTGCAAAAAACATGTCATGTTCACTGACAATATCATCGTTGTAATACATGTTACTGTTTTGAAACACTAATATTTGTGTTCAGCGAAGTCTTCCGAGTAAAACAGTAACCCCATGTACAGGCTTTATGATGTCTTGGAAAGTTACAGGGTTAAATATAGTGCTAGCAAATTAAATTCCCAGGACCTTTGGGCCTGGCTTGTCAGGCTGGTCCTGCTAATTGTAATTAATAAAATGACCTAATTATTTAAAATTATTACATAAATATATACGTAGAATTATATATGTATATGTGTGTATATAAATATATGTATATATATATATATGTATATGATTTTTATTTTTTTTTATTTATATATAGGTGTATATATAGTGATATATTCGTATATACTTATATATATATATATATATATATATATATATATTATTTCGTTCTACATGTATTTTGATATCAATATATATATATATATATATATTAATTTTAAAATACAGTTAGAATGAATTTACACACATATATATATATATTATTTATTTATTTTTTATTTTTTTAATTACATTTTTTAACGTATTTACAGATTTATTTATTTTATATTATATATAAATATATATATATATAATTAAAATTATATATATATTTAATCAATATCATTGAAGCCCACAGTACATATGTAAACCCTCATTTAATTATTACAAAATGTGCATTGATGTAGGTTATCCTTAACACATAATAAAACTTTGAATACAATTTATCATTATAGCATCACAACTGGTTCATGGTTGCCTTGGTAAGATGACTTCATTTGGTATGCCACATTTTCTATGTAACATTTTAAATTGGCCAAAAAACATTCCTGTATATAAGTGTAAAAAATAAACATGTAGATTTTTCTTTATCTTTGAAAGAAAATTAGCTCTAAAGCATCATCCAGATAAGAATCCTGATAATCCCGAAGCTGCAGAAAAATTCAAAGAGATCAACAATGCAAACGCAATACTGAGTGATTTATCAAAGAGAAATATTTATGACAAATATGGTTCATTAGGACTGTACGTCGCAGAACAATTTGGAGAAGAGAATGTCAATGCGTACTTTATGTTGTCTAGTTGGTGGGCAAAGGTAAGAGGCTACAATAAATGCTATTTCAACAATCAGCATTTTAAATTAATCCCAAATATAAATTGTTTAATATCTCGCATACCTCTTTAATAATTCACATTAATTAGCAACTGAAAGTTATTAAAAAAGTTAATACCGTTTGTTGTGGGTTCACAGTTCTCCCCAATATCAGGAGGGTACTGCAGAAGTCTTCCTTCCCCTATCAAATGTAAAATGAGTGGAGGATGATAGAAAAAGAAACTTAATTCCCTCGACCAATGTGCAGCTAGTGAGGGGTTAATACTTATTAAAGAACCACTAATGGACTCCTCAGTGACGTGGTCTGGATGCAGTGGTCCTTTAGTTTTAACCCTGCAATGTAAAACATTACCATTCTGAGGATATTTGCTCACAGCCACTAGAGCAGGGGTAGGCAACCTTCGGCAGCCCAGATGTTATGGACTACATCCCCCATAATGCTCTTACAGCTATAGTGCTGGCAAAGCATCATGGGAGGTGTAGTCCAAAACATCTGGAGTGCCAAAGATTGCCTATGCCTGGGCTAGAGAGTGAAACTCGATTCTCACAATTAACCTTCATTGTATTGGAGGAGTGCAGTGCTGGCCACACATGTGCTTTTTTGCCACTATGCATTGGATTGCACGAGAAGAAGAGTTGCCATGGTGTTGCAGGGGGGCAGATTAAGAGACTCCCAGGACTAGATTTCGTACTTGAAAAAAAAAAAAAAAAAGTGCGTAATATCCTTTCTGAAACTAAAAGCAGAGGAGAAACCGAAACAGGTTTGAATTCCTAATGCTATATAGTTCCTTAAGAGTGTGTTCCCCAAAATAAAAGGGAATAATAATAATTTTTTTTGTTTTTTCCAGTGGTATCAAATGCCCCAATGTTCACTTATTGTTAATACTAGGCAATGGAGGTGCACTTTCATTCAATCAATACAGGCGAATGAAATCTTCCAGTAACTAAGCAAAAAGGAATTAAATGAATGTTGTTATCTTAGTGCAGAGGAACACCGTACATGCACATTTTAAACATTGTCTTGTCTTTATATTTATTTATTTAGGGTCTGTTTGCACTCTGTGGCCTCTTGACTGGCTGTTATTTCTGCTGCTGTCTCTGCTGCTGTTGTAACTGTTGCTTTGGAAAATGTAAACCCAAATCCGCAAGTGGAGAAGACTACGAATGCTATGTGTCCCCAGAGGACTTGGAGGAGCAGATCAAGACAGACATGGAATCAGGTACAAAAAGAAATCTACTATTTTCTAGAAATGTATACATAGCATGAATATCAAGAAGGTAATCAGTGACATTTATCCCTTTTATCGAAACTGAGAAATAGCACTTCATGGCGCATGTTTCAAGCATGTTATAGTACAAATTAACCTGTCATCATTGTAAATATGAGCTGCTAAACCTTATTCATGACATGATAGTATGTGTAAAGATTTTCACATGAATTTTTTGCATCTTCTCACACACTGTTTCTTTTCATTCACATGTCAACTTTTTAAGCCAAAGGCATACATTTTAAAACTTATTTTTATAAAATGTATCACTAGCAGTTTTTATACTTTGTCAGTGACAAACTTGTTACAAAACTAATTTAGGCTTCTTTTTGTCATCCTGGGATTTAAAGGTCACTCATAGGCACCAAAACAATTTTAGCTTAAAGGATCACAACTCGTTTTCCTGACACTATATAATCCTTAGGTGTCCCCCCCCCCACCCTCAGCCACTTACCTTTATCCAGTGCCGGGCTCCCTCAGCGCTCTTGAACTCTCCTCCCCCTCCGACTTCAGCTCCCGAGTGGAGCAGAATGCGCATGCGCAGCAAGAGCTGCACGCACATTAAAAACGCCCATAGGAAAGCATTTCTCAATGCTTTCCTATGGAAGTTCTGCATGCTCAATGTGATTTTCGCATCTACCACCACTAGAGGCTGGATGAACCCTGCAATGTAAACATAGCAGTTTCTCTGAAACTGCTATGATTACAGCTGCAGGGTTAAAACCTGGGGGACCTGGCACCCAGACCACTTCATTGAGCTGAAGTGGTCTTCGGTGAATATAGTGGTCCTTTAATGAAGCAGCTTTGATTAACAGATCATGCCACTACAATATCACTTCTCAATTCTCTGTCATTTAGGATATAAATCACTTTGTTTATGCTGCCCTAGTCACACCTCTCTGCATGTAAGATGCACAGCCTTTCTAAACACAAAAAGAGATCTAATGTTCTTAAACAGCCTTTATTGTGCATTCTGTTTAATTTAGAATGTATCTCCTGCTCTGGCCTTCAAAACCATGCAGGAGCCTCCTGTGTGTGATTAAAGTTGAGTTTACAGAGCAGGAGATAAAAATGTCCAAAGCAAGTTAACATCTGATTGAAAATGAAACCGTTTTTTTCATCTAGGCTGTGTGAGTCACAGCCAGGGAGGTGTGGTTAGGGCTACATAAACAGAAACAAGTAACTTAACTCCTAAATGGCAAATAATTGAGCAGTGAAACTACAGGGGTATGATCTATGCACTAAAATTGCTTAATTAAGATAAAGGTGTTGATGCCTTTAGTATCCCTTTAGGTTCAAGACTACTTCCAACCGTTGAAAAACAACTGCAGTCAATGGGATAAATATTTTGTTCTACACTTAGTTACACTGCCCTGCAGATTTTATAGGAACACTCCAACCATCGCAGCTTGTTATAGTGATTATGGTGCCAGGAGCGCCAAGAAGTAACCTAGCTCCTACCAGCAAAACCACAAATAATGTTTCAGTTAAAGGAACACTCCAGTGTTTTAAATAAATGTTTACTTATAATGTTAGAGTATCCCCCATTAGATTATTGGTTCTCCCCCCATTTGAGTAAAATAAATACCTTAAACTTACCTTTTATCCACTGCATCTCCTTCTGCTCTGAGATCATTGTGACTGACAAATGTAAAGCAACAGCTGTTTCTCACAAATGGCAATCTTTACATTTTTGGGGACAGGATCTTTGCACCAAAACAACTACATTAAGATGCAGTGATTTTGGTGCTTTGGGTGTCATTTTAAACACTAGACTTTATAATACCATATGCTATAGTTTATAATGGTTTATTTATCAGTTCATGTGAGGCTTCTTTAACAAGTACTGTGGCAAAAATACATGTTTTTTATTTTTTTTATTTAAAATATGCATGTTCTTCTTTCAGCCAAATTCCTTGAAGGTTTGTGAGTATAAAATGTAGCTAGTGTAATGAAGTCATGTCTATGTGTCACGTACAATACCGCCTGCCAGAATATTGGCAGAACTGCTTCCTCCTGGGTCAAAATTAAGTCTCTAGGAGAGAAATTAAATCTTAATGAAATCTGTCATCCAAAGCATAGCCACAGTAGAGAAGCATTTCAAAGGAGCGTTGAATCAATTTTTGCCAGTTCGGTATATAATTGTGTATTGTAAATAAATTAACCCGTTAGTAAATGGTGCAACACAATATGTGGAACAAGTCCTTGTCAGTAGTGGCTGTTTAGGTCCCTGGCCCCCCTCAGATTGCAGTGAAAAGGTATTTAAAGTTACCTTTCTCCTACGCCGGGCCAGTCTAATCTCAGCCAATCCAATGCTTTTTCCATAGGAAAGCACTGGGAAGATATTGCACATGCGTGGCAAAACGCAGCACATGCATTTTATCTGAAAAGGCAGCATTACAATAAAAAGCCTGCAGGGACAGGATATAGATAAATTGCAGTTTTTCAATATTTAAAGCCTCAAAATAATCCTGGCTCTGGACGTAAGGGTGTTTGGCGTCTCTTAGATTTCACCACACCTTCCTCATGTCAGAATGGGGTGAGATGGACGGTTAATCCTCCTAACATTGGTACCAGTAACTCTCATTCAAGGCTGGCGAATCTGAAGCGTTTCATACTGAACACGCAGAATCCTTGCACCATAACCACTTCAAAGCACTGTTGTGGAATATCATATAACTATCTTACGAGAAATGCCCTCAATTATTAAGAACAATATAAGATTGTGGCAATGTAATGGGGGCTCGTAATCACGTTCTTTTCCATGGTAATTTTCTCCATCCAAATAATTATAAATCCATATTTTTTTCTAGATTAGCACTTTATAGTCATTGTGGGCTTTGCCTACATATTATGCAAATCAGAGCACTTGGAAAACCAACTAAGACATAAGGATGTCCATTACACATGAAGAAATTTGCATTGCCCACACTATCCAAAATACCACCTGTGTATCCTAATCAATTATATAATATATTCCATCTTAGTCCCCTATTTTCAGTATGTATAATAATATACATTTCATAGATTTGTCTAGACCATTTCCAATTTTATTTTCATTGACCTAAAACATAATAACTTGCTCTAAATATAGAACTAGCATGTCATACATTATGTGTATTAAATTATTCTATAAAATTGCTTCAAAAATATATTTTGGAACTGTGTCAGATTTTAACCGCTCTGAAACACTTCCCAAAAGATCTTACGTGTGAGATATTCATTCAGCAATAACAAAATTCAAGATAGCTCTCCAGAATGAGTGTTCCACAATTCTATGATATGTAGTAACTGTGTAAAGAATAACGAGTGGTCAATCAAGAAAAAAGCCAACATCAATATAAGTTTATGTTGAAAAAAATACATGACCAGGTGGGGCATTTAGCATATACAGTTTAAAATATCTATGGAGATTGCACTTTCCGAGTTAATGACGCCATGTAGGGTGTATGAAGAAAAGTTAAAAAGTACCAAGTGACATTCATTTGTCTTCTTATGAAACCCTATGTAAAAAGGAAATTAATGACCCATGCTATGCCTGACGCTAGTTAAGGTCACATAGTATGAGTCAGCATACAGTAAAACTGTTTTTTCTGAATTACTCTGCAGATATAAAAGCTTTATGAAAGGCAGATATGGTCTGATGCACATTAAAAAACACATTTGTGCCTAAAAGGAACACTATAGGGTCAATAACATTTATTCCTGACGCTATAGTTATAAAACCAGGGCTAAATGTACCCCCTGGCCTCCCCCTTGTCCCCCTAAATATAGTAAAATCTTACTTTAGTTCACGTCTACAGCTGCTGGCTCTGCCCCTGATCTGCCTGCTTGGCTAACATCATCAGAAGAGTTGTTCTGAGCCAATCACAATGCTTTCCCATAGGATCGGCTAAGACTGTCAAGGAGGCAGATCAGGAGCAGAGCCAGCACAAGTCAAACACAGCCCTGGCCAATCAGTATCTCCTCATGGACACTGAATGGCAGTACTGCACAGTGGGCAGCACTGCCCCAGTTAGCACCTCTAATAGCCATATGAGGAGTGGCCAGTGGAGGTATCACTTGGCTGTAATGTAAACACTGCATTTTCTCTGAAAAGACAGTGTTTACTGCAAAAAGCCTGAAGGGAATGATTATATTCACCAGAACAAATGCAAAAAGATGCAGTTCTTCTGGTGACTATAGTGTCCCTTTAACCCCTTAAGGGCACATGACATGTGTGACATGTCATGATTCCCTTTTATTCCAGAAGCTTGGTCCTTAAGGGGTTAATCATGTCCTAAGTTTCACCATGCACCGGGCCATATGTGTCATTCATAAAGCTTTTCAATATTGGATTTTCGGTGTGCTGTTATGAGTTATAAGCCTGTGTGTGTATTATTATTTTATTATTATTATTGCCATTTATATAGCGCCAACAGATTCCTTTGCGCTTTTCAATATTGTGAGAGTAGTGACTTAACTTCAGATAGAACAATTACAATAAAACTTACAGGAACGATAGGTTGAAGAGGACCCTGCTCAAATGAGCTTACAGTCTATAGGAATGAATGTGTGTGAGTCTGTGTGTGTATTAGTCTGTGTTCAAATGAGTCTTATTCATTTTAAAAATAATATTTTTGTAATATCAGTTTTAATTGATTTTTGTTTTTGTTACAGATGGTCACACTCCCATTGCAATGCAACCAACACATTTAAATGAGAAAACACAGCTGATTGGAGACAACCGCCGTACCTATCAAACAGACTCATAGACCAATCATTGCCTAAAAAATTTCAAAGACAAAATTAAAGCAATTTTAAATAACACAAAAAGAGAATTATTTCATTTACCTTGCAGAAGGACACATCTATGTCAAAAACATTTCTATCTTGTTTTTCCCTTTAAAGATATTTCGTCTTTCTCTGTATTATTTTTCCAAAATGCTATGTGTACATATATGTAGAGGTTTATTTTCTCCTTTGAGAAAGTTACTATAAGCTATGGCTATTATTGTTCTCATTATTCAGTCTTAATGTATCTATTTAGGAATCAATTGTTCGATTAAACTTTCAGTTTAATACGTTGCAGTCTATGCTTCTTCACTTCATTTATGATAGAGTGATATCATAGTGGTAAAGAAGAAATATTTGGAATACTGTCATTTAGTGAGGAGATTGCCATGAGAAACTCTAGAGCAAGAGGCAAGTGTACAAGAGAGTGGGTACATGGGAGATATAGGTTTGGATATATAAGGATTTCAATATTGGATCTTTTGTTGGCAACATTTAATAAAGAATCTGATATAGTAAGGGGAGAGTGGGGTTAAGGTGAGAAAAGGAAAAAAGGTCAGAGTAGATTGTTAAAGGAATACATCAAGCTCCATAACCACTACAGTGCACATTGGTGGTTATGGTGCCTATAGTACCTAAGCCCCCACCCCATTGTAAGTTGTAAAGTCCTTTAGAAAGGTTTGAGACCTTAGACAGGGCCCACCGGGCACTGATCTCTGCGTCCACTGTGGCAAAGAGCAAAAGCTCCTAAGCTGGAACCACTGGAAGCTCTCCTGAGCTGCCTCAGCTGGCTACCTCATTGACTGAGAATATCAGCTGATAAATCCTGGCTAAGCAAGGCTCAGCCCAGACAGAGAGCTTCTGGACTCTTGGTGAAGAAGTGGAGGCAGGTGGACCTCAGGTAAGAAATCGAACTGTTTTCAAAGAGTGTCACTATAACTTCAAAAGTGCATAACTACTTAAGTGTGATACCTGGAGGATCCCAGGTAGGAGACCAAACTATTCCAATTTTTTTTAACTAATTACAATTTGGGTGAGGGGTGGGGGTGGTGAAGGGCACTCCTGGCACCATAAGCACTACAGCAGGCTGTAGTGGTTATAATGCTTGAAGTAACCCTTTATTGATTCACTTTCAGTCTTGTATCTTTGTATCGCAGCCCCAGACTGGTACTGGAACATGGCTAAAGGTACAATTTGATTAATTGTAAAATTATTTCTAATGCCATAAGTCCACTTTTTGTCTGCGTACAGACTTTTATGTCACTTGGAGGATGCCCACTGGGTTCTGTGCACCGAACGCTTGCATGTACCTCCAATACAGTATTGTAAACTACATGTGAGATGGGATGAGTTATTTGCTTAAGTAATTTATGCATTTCAAAGTGAAATCCTATGCATATACTAATTTCTCTCAAATATTGTTCACAAATCTGTTTAAATCTGTGTTAGTGAGCACTTCTCCTTCGCTGAGATAATCTATCCACCTCACAGGTGTGGCATATCAAGATGCTGATTAGACAGCATGATTATTGCAAAAGTGTGCCTTAGGCTCTATCTGAACAATATTTTAGAGAAATAGGTCTTTTGTGTACATAGAAAAAGTCTTAGCTCTTTGAGTTCAGCTCATGAAAAATGGGGGCAAAAACAAAAGAATTGCGTTTATAATTTTGTTCAGTATCTATCTATCTATCTATCTATCTATCTATCATCTATCTATATATCTATATATATATTTGTATATATATATAGCTATATATAAATAAAAATAATTTGAAAAAATTATATGAATATACATATCTATTTAAATTCTACAAAAATATTTATATAATATTTTTACATAATTAAGTAATTTTATTAATTACAATCTGAGGGACCTGCCCGACAACCCAGGCAGAGAGTCCAGAGAATTTGGCTCGCGTGCTCTATATTTAACACTGTAACTTTCCAGGACACCATGAAACCTGTACATTGGCGGTACTGTTTTACTCAGGAGACTTCGCTAAACACAAATATTAGTGTTTAAAAACAGTAAAACATATCACAGTGATGATGTTGTTAGTGAAAATGCAGTTTTTTGGCATATAATTGCATATAATTGATACGTTTTACTATTTTGAAACACTAACATTTGTGTTCGGTGAACTCTCCCGAGTATAACAGTACCCCCCATGTACAGGTTTTATGGTGTTTTCAAAAGTTACTGAGTCAAATATAAAGTTTGAATTTCCTTTTTTTCACATTGAAATTTGCCCGATTGGTTATGTTGCCTTTAAGACCATATGGTAGTCCAAGAATGAGAATTACCCCCATGATGGCATACCATTTTCACAAACACCAAAATTAGTGTTCAATTTAGTTTTTGGCATTTTTCACACACAAACAAATATGAACTCTAATTTTGGCCAGTGTTTGTGACTAAGTGGCTACTAAAAAAGACTGGACATACCCTATTTGTAATACCTTGGGTTGTCTGCTTTTGCAAATGGTATGCCATCATGGGTGTAATTTTCATTCCAGGGCTACCATTTGGTCTCAAAGGCAACATAACCAGTCTGGCAAAAAAAATTAAATTCATATTTGACCCTGTAACTTTCCAAAACACCATAAAACCTGTACTGTTTTACCCGTGAGACATACCTGAATACAAATATGTGTACTTTATTGCAGTAACAGCTAACAGAATTGTGACATTCACAGTACAAATGCCATGCAGAACTAAAAAATAATTTTTTCTTAAATTATGTTTAATATACAAATATTTGAATGTTTCTGCTGAACAAAATTATATATGATAAGTGTGGGTGCACATAATATGAAAGAGGCGAATTACGCCTGAACAGACATATAGCGCACATTCAAGGTCTTGTTTACGCTTTGTTTTGATCACAACTTGTACAACAGTCCATAAGGGGTTAACGCAATTGTCTTTTATGATCCAACAACAAAATCCTCAAAAAAAAAACCAAACAAATATCCATAATTCTCTTTTTAGAACGAATCATTAACCTTTTCACAATTTTTAAACATGGAATGCGGGTGACATAAGAAATGTTTAATGCAATAAACAAAACCATGTCACCTTGTTCTGGTACTAGCTAGACAGTGAAGAAAGCAGACATACAAAGGATCTAAGATTAGTATGTAACACGAAAACAGTAAAAACGCAAATAAAGTATGCACATGATAAGAGAGGTGGTGAATAATTTCATTCATAAACGGACTTGTATTAAACTTTCAAGGTAACAAAAGGCAAAGGTAATACAGTCTTAAGTCCAAGTATCCATCATGAAATATTTTAGCGGTGCTGATTATTGGACTGTAAAGTGGTCGCATTATGGCATTTTAAACTAGGCAACATGCAATATTATTACAGTGATTTGTATCATCATTTCACTCTAAGACAAATGTATGAAGGTAAGGATTAAAAAAAGCCCTAAATCAATGAGATTGGTTTTGAAAGAATATTTCCAAAAATGCATTTATAGCCTCTTTTTAAAGGTATATCTTTCATTGTATAGTACTCTACCTTTAGCGGTGCATTCAAAATATTTAATGCTATTGGTATTAAAACTGAAAAAAAAATATTTTCATTCCTAGACTTGAGCTATCCAGTTGCAAATCTTGAATAGCTCACCATGCATTTAGAAGAGGTCCTTATAATTCTGTGCTTCACACTAATGCATTCACTAGCACCCGTGCTTAATCAGCACAATCCCACCTAAAAATCAATCGACATAATATGCAATATATTGAAACTTATCACCCAGGGAACATCAACCTCTTTCATTATAGGGAAGGTGCTGAGAAATTACAGTTTCAACTCAAATTATGCAACACAAACCAAAACCTTTATTTCAAGGAAACAGATTGGAATCTACACGTATTAAAGAGAAAAGAATATCCCAACTCTGCAGTTATTCTTGAGCAGTCTTCTCCAGTGTATATTCTAGTTAAGAAACAAGGAAAAGAAGCTCCAATCTGATTAGGTATCAAAACATTTTCCATGGAAGTGCATGAACATTTTTCTTTGCAATGAACAATCCAGATAACTCTCATCTTCTAATTAGACCAGTGTTGCAGGGACTTAATGTATCTGATATTACTGTTTTAGTAAAACAGCAAATACAAGTATGAATGCTTTTTTTCTTCTTAAATATTTATTTTTCTTCTTAAAACAGCTCTGTCATAAAAAAAAAACAACAGCAAATAACGCCATCTAATCTGATTCTTCGTAGTTCCCATGTCTGAATTTACTTTTATTTTTTTTTCTGAAGTTTTCATAAAATACAAAAAGAGAAGTGGGGACTACTTGACAATAGGCAGGGCTTAAAGCGAGGTTCTGTTCCAGTTACCAATCAAATTTACCCACAATCCTCAGTAAAATCAATCCTACATAAAGGCAACCTGCAGACATCTTGGACAGAGGAAAACAAAATGGCTGCTTCCAGATATTGCTATCTAACACAAAGAAGAAAATAAATATAAATATGAGGAGGAGGGGGTAATAATCATAAAGATGGAAAGCGCATAATGAAAGGAAAACTGAAAGCAAGAAAAATCTAGGATACTTTAAATAAAATGTCTGTATTTTGTCTTTTCTAAAAGCTGTTGTTGATATGATAGCAGGTAAAATTTCTTAGTATTGCTACATACTTATCATAAACAACAGGATATTGAAAAAAAAAAAGAAAGTATGCAATCTTTCATCTATCCCACTCAGAACCCACCACTGGGATGTGCTAATCAGCCTCCGCAAGTCATTATACAGATCTAACATACCTCACTATGGTTTGCCAGATACAACAATGACATCATGTTCTCCAGGCAGATCAGTAGTCCTACATTATTTATCATGAATCTGCACTGAACAGGTTTTGTGTATCTAAATGGCCACAAAGAACATAAGCTCTAAAGACGCTAAACTGCATGAAGTCTGCATTGCAAGGATGGGGCATTCTATTAAAACAAAACAAAAAAAAAA